CAAAACAAAAGCAAGAAGAACAATACAACAGGAGACATGCAGTCAAATCAAAAAAATTTGAACCAGGAACAAAAGTTTATGTTCAAATTCACACTTACAATAAATGGTCGTGGATTCCTGGGGAAATAGTCGAAAAAGTTGGAAGAGTTATCTACAATGTACTTGTCGACACACGAAGTCGCTTGGTTCGAGCTCATGCGAATCAAATCAAGTTTAGAGCTATCAAGGACAATGACGACTCATCTCAACAGCAAGAAATTCAATTACCACTTGAAATATTAATCAATGCCTTCGATCAGGGAGGAAAACAAGAGAACATTCAAGAAACTACCTCTGTTCCTCAAGGAAATTCTACTTCACCTCAAATTCTAGAAGACATCAATCAAGAACTATTGCAACCTCAAGAATCGTCTTCACAACCAGATTCAGGTCAACGATCGGAACCTGTGCAACAGGAACAACCAGTGCTTAGGCGCTCTCAACGCAATAGACGTCGTCCACGTAAACTGGAGGATTACCAGTGTCACTCTTCCAGATAGGGGAGGTGTTACCTACGCCTATGCTAAACGTCACGACATGCGCGGCTAGGCAACGATCTGTATGTCGACAGTCAGAAGGTCGACACCGGCAGTTGTGTTTAGACATTCAAAATAGACACACTCTTTCGTATTATTACTAGGCCTTCCGCATATTATGATTAGCACATAATTCTCAATTAAACTACGAATTAAAGATTAGTGACAAACACAACAGGTTGGGAAGTTGTTTGGAAAAATACTCATCCTTCATCAACCAAGTTTTGCAGACCAATAAAATTTGAATATGTTTCCGAAACTCCGGAAAAAATAAGAAATGAGGTAAATAAAATTTAATGAAAGATAATAATAATTGACTCGTATGATTTAAAAATCTCAGCAAGTGTAAAGCCTAATCGAGTCTTGAAAACAAGATGTTAATGTTTATTATATTATGTGAATTTATATACTGCGTATGTAGTCCCCCCCGCGACGCTGATAGATCTTCAGCATTGACGCATACATATTCATTACCGCAGTAATATCACTTAGTTAAATTGAGAATCAATCTAACCAATTTTTGATGCCTGTAGCATCTTATTAGATCTTAATAATATGTTGAAAGATATATATTAAAATTTAATATTAAAGTACCCGAGCAGAAATTTTATTGGACATGCCTGATGTACGGTCAGGCCATGATCAGGAAGTAATAGGTTATGCCCTATTCGGGAATTCCCCACTTGGAACTGATCAAGAAATGACAGAGTATGCCCTAGTCTTGTTTTACTGATTTGGGCCTGATCCGGTGCATATTTCGGCATTCTTCTTAATATTTCTTAAGGCAATTGTTACATGGACCTAATTTCCTCGTCCTTGCTCTGCAGTATTATATATACAGGGTGATTCAAAATAACCTTTTGTCCTTAAAGGGACGTATTCCTGGCGGTATTCTGAGACGATTTTTCCTTTGGCAAAAATTCGTCCGAAGCTTAGTTTTTAAATTATAAAGAGAAATAGTTAGCGTATCACAAGTCGAATACGGAAGGTAACCAGGGGCGGCGACGCTCACCGATGCATGCGGTGTCTGTCAGGCTCAACAGTACACACGCCTACAGTTTACATTCAAATTCTCTCTCTCTCTCTCTCTCACACACACACACACACACACACACACACACACACACA